TTCTATTTATGCCAAAGTGAAAAATAGTCTGAAGAAAAAATACCAAACAAGAAAAGTTTGGATAACAATGACAGAAGAACTAGCAAATATTTACAATGACGGAGATGGCAACTTACAATTCGGAGATCAATACCTAGAAGAGATGGTAGAAGGAAATCGTGCCCAGAAAACGGAAACAAATACCTTGGAGCAACTATTTGAAAAATTTGTAGAAGTCACACAGGAAAATAAACAACAATCCTTAAAACAGATTGCGGATAAATTTATTATTGAAAAATTCACAAGCTAAAATTCTAATGCGATGTTGTGGATTGATATGTTTGAAAAAGAATGTCTTCGCTTAGAAGTGTACCTAAGGATGAGAAAAAAATAGAAGTATTGAGATTGTTTATGGATAAAAGTTGTGCAGATTGGTATAGTTCCTATGATTATGAAATTGACACTGAACTCTGAATGGTGTACATGGAAAAACAAATGTTGTGAAACTTTTGCAAATAAGGGATAGAACCCAGTCAGGTATGCATTATTATTTAAATACAAAGAGGGGTCCCTGTTGGATTATGCTATAAAGAAGGAGAAACTTCTACTAGACATGAGGACATCAATTGATACAGGTACTTTGATAGACCTTATTGCATCTGGCTTACCAGAGTTTATACTGAATAGAATAGACAGAGAAATATTAAAAGAGACAACAGATTTATTCAACGAAGTAAGCAAATATGAACACATGGTAAATAAGAAAAGCTTTATAGTAAGAAGAGGCTACATAAACCAGAAGACTTACAGTAAAAGTGAAGAAAAATTACCATGCAAATTATGTGAAAAATTGAATAAAGGTCAACGCTATCATCCGGAAGCTATATGCTGGTTTAAACCAAAAGAAGAGGAAACATTTAAAAAGAATACAATAAAACATGTCAACAATTCAGTAATCGAAGCAGAGTTGAATGAAACCGATCAAAAAAACGAATAATAACACCGTTAATTACTGTCAAACTACAATTAAATGATGTATTACAAATAAATGGAGTCTACGATTCAGGTTCAAATGTTTCTTTGATAAATGCCAAGCTATTGAGATTAAAAGGAAAAGGAAACAACCTGAATAAAGCAGATTTAGTAACAATTAATGGTGTTAAAAAAGCAAGTGGTTTGACAAATTTGAAAATAAAAATCTTTGAAATAGAAAAAGAAGTAGATGTTTACATTATAGATGATCAAAATTTCAAATATGAATTTTTGATTGGGCTAGACTTGATAAAAACATTTAAATTGATTCAAACTGAACACTTAAAAATAATTCAATTATTTAGATTAAGAGAGAAAAAAATATCAGATAGAAGAAAAAGCAAAGAGTTCAGAAATAACTTACACACTGAGAAATAATGAAGAGAACAAAGAAATCTTAAAAGAGTGCAAAGTTAATTTCAATGAACATGTTAAAGAGGAAGATTTTAAAATAAAAATAAATCACTTGGATGAAAAAGAAAAATATGAAATAAATAAACTTGTCAGAAAATACGGCTCAATATTTGCAAAAGATAAATATGATGTCGGCACTGTTCATGGATATGAAGCCAGAATAGATTTATTGGTAGAAAAATATTGTAGTAAAAGACCTTACCGATGTACCATGGAAGACAAAAAAGAGATAGAACAACAAATAGCTAAATTACTTGAGAGTAGACTAATAGAAGAATCATACAGTCCCTTTGCAGCTCCGGTAACTCTTGCATATAAAAAAGAAGAAAACAAAAAAATCCAGACTTTGTATTGATTTCAGAGAGTTGAATAAAATATTAGTACCTCAAGCTCAGCCATTTCCATTGATTGAAGATTTAGTAGCAAAGACTAGAAATTGCAAGTATTTTACCACACTAGACATAAATTCAGCGTTTTGGTCTATTCCTATGCGAATAGAGGACAGCAAAAAAAAACCGGTTTTGTCACACAAGAAGGACACTTTCAATGGACATGTCTACCATTTGGCTTAAAAACATCACCAGCGATTTTCCAAAGAATATTAAGCAACATATTAAGAAAATACAAACTTACTGATTTTGCAGTAAATTATATAGTTGATATATTAATATTTTCAAACACTTTTGACGAACACATAAATCACCTGACTCAATTACTGGAAGCCATAAAACTGGAGGGGTTCAGACTAAAGTTTACAAAATGCACATTTGCATCAGATTCAGTAAAATATCTTGGACATATAATTCAGAATAATACTGTTAAACCATTAAAAGACAACTTGGTGTCGATAAGGAATTTCCCTACTCCAAAAACACAAAAGAATGTAAGACAATTTTTAGGAAAAATAAATTTTTACCATGAATATATTCCAAGGAGTGCTATAATACTAGACCCGCTACATAATTTACTCAGGAAAAATCAAAAATTTGTTTGGACGGAAGAATGTCAAAAATCATTTGACATGATAAAAAATCTCTTATGTTCTCAACTCGTTCTAGAAATATTTGATCAAAATTTGACAATAAATATTTATACAGACGCATCAATAGAAGGAGTCGGCGCTATTTTAAAACAAATACAACCTGATGGAAAATAAAAACCAGTGGCATATTTTTCAAAAAAATTAAATGAAGCTCAGAAGAAAAAAAAAGGCAATTTATTTAGAATGTCTGGCAATAAAAGAAGCTGTGAGATACTGGCAATATTGGTTAATTGGTAAATCATTTACAGTTTACTCAGATCATAAACCACTGGAAAACATGAATTTGAAATCAAGAACCGATGAAGAATTAGGAGATTTATCATATTACTTATCACAATATGAATTTAAAATTAAATATGCACCTGGGAGAAAAAATATTGAAGCAGACTGTTTAAGCAGAAACCCAGTATTGGAACCAGATGATAACACAGATGAACAGTTGAAAATTGTTAACTTTATAGATATAAAAGATATTATAAAAGACCAAGAAAAGAATATAAGAATTCAAAATAATAAAAATAAACTGATTGAAAAACAAAATATATTATTTAAAAATATAGGGGGAAAAGAGAAAATAGTTATTTCAGAAGAATTTAGTTCAAATTTTTTAAAAACAATACATGAGAATATGTGCCATATCCAATTAGGCAAATGCAAAAAATGGTTAGTCCATATTACTCGGCAAGAAATTTGACAACTAACATCAGAAAAATATGTAGAAACTATGAAGTTTGCATCAAAAATAAATCAAGAGGATACGACAAATTTGGACTTATGTCACATTTAGGACCAGCTACGAAACCTTTTTAAAATAGTTTCTATAGACACAATGGGAAGTTTTGGTGGTTCAAGATCAACAAAGAGAACTTACATCTATTAGTGGACCATTTCACTAGGTGTGCATTTATTGTCACATCAAAAACACAGAATGCAAATGATTTTATAAAATTAGTCACAAATATAACGGACACAGAAAACATTGGAATTATTCTCACAGATCAATACCCAGGAATAAACTCGAAGGAATTCAAGAAAGTTTTAAATGATAAACAGATACCTATCGTTTTTACAGCTGTAAATACACCATTTTCTAATCGTTTGAATGAAAGGTTGAATCAAACATTAATAAACAAAATAAGATGCAGAAGAAATGAAAGTGAAACTAAAAGAGCTTGGACAACAATAGCTAAAGAATGTGTAGAAAAATACAATCAAACGGATCATTCTGTGACCGGATTTTCACCAGCATATCTATTGCATGGTACCGATGTGACTATTTTACCAAAAGAGTTGAAACAAAAAAAACTTTACAGTGAATGGTTAAGGGATAAGAAAATTGCACTAGAGAACACAATAAAGTCCCATAACTACAACAAAACAATATTTGATAAAAGTAGAAAAAACTGGGACTTCAAAGTAGGAGTGATGGTGTATGTGGAAAATGGAAACAAATTAAATAGAAAGAAGTTAGATGAATTAAGGATTGGTCCATATAAGATAATTGAGAAAATTTCAAATACATTATACCAGATAGATACAGGCCACAAGAAAACAGAATCAAATCTTTACCACATTACAAAACATTCCAGTATTCGAAGATGGAATCTGAGAAGGAGGACTGAGAAAATTTCACAACTTTTGTGAATATTTTCTTCCCTAGGGGGGGAGATGCAAAGAACAATAATATTGGTTCTTTAATTTGAATCTGCTGCGTTTAAGATCGTCGGTAATGTAGTGCGTGTGAAGTGGATAAAACAGAGTAAGTTTTGAGACTATGTCATGAAGAGTGTCAAATACAAAAAGGATTGACAGAAAAGTGAATTGTAAAACGTAGATTAAAATATTGAGAGAAAATAATAAAATAGAATAGCTAGTGAAGAATAAACTTTAATGTCGTTTCTTTGTTTACAGGTAGGTGTTGTAGTATAAGTACCTAATTAGTTTGTTTGTAAAGAATAGTGTTTAATGAGAATAAAAACTTTGTTTACACAGCAACACAGTTTATATCAATTACTAGCCCTAAATTGAAGAACCAATCTTATATGTATATAAAGTAAATAAAGAGAATAATAATAATAGTCTTTATTTTATTCTCTCACACAGTATACATACCTGACCTGTATGACAGATTGCCAGACTCTCCAGACTCTGGATAGGTGAAGTGCTGTTTAATGGAGGTATATTAGTTATCACCAAGAACAGAGTGCTTAGTGCGAGTTTTCTCATCTATTCACCTGCGAGCGAGTAAACTCTAATTTATATGACATTAAATTAACGCCACCTAGCGGCACGTTTATGAAATATTTTTGATGAGTGCAAGTTTTTACGTCCTCGCGCCGTTTATCGAAAAGTGACTTGGGCTCGAAAGTGAGTGTAACAACTCACGTGATTGGTGGACTTTTTGACATAAGTCACGTAAACATTCGGAAACGTAAAACAAAAGTAAGTGAAAAGTTGTCACCTACATTTTCATAGTGAAAGCTCAGTGAGAACAATAAACCGACGTATTTAAAACTATTTTAATATTGCAATTATGACCGGTCGCCGTTTTTTCGCCTGGAGGATGTTTCCAGCCGCTAAGGCACAAGATGATAGAAATTTTAACACAAGTGTGGAAGCAAGAGCTCGAGCGTCTTTTGATCCTTTGCTACATCTCACGGAGAAACAATTTAGAGAGCGATATCGTCTTACCAAAAAATCATTCAAGTTCTTGTGCGCAGAACTAAGGCGCACAACTAATTTAAGGTCCACTCAACGTATGTCTTTGGAACATAAAGTACGTATTAAACCTATACCTATAATACAAGTTTTTATTATTGAATTTTATAAAATCAAGACAATACATTGTTAGTTTTTAAATTATCATTTTATCTCCAGGTGCTCACTGCTCTATTTTTTTTGCAACTGGATCCTATCAACGGCCGGTAGGAGTTGCAAAACATTTATCACAGCAAATGTGCAGTGTATATATTCAAGAGGTGACCGAAGCATTGAATGATAAAAATATCATCAATAAATTTATTAAATTTCCCTGCACTCAAGCTGCCAGGCAGGCAGTTAGTCAACGTTAAAAATACATTTAATATTCAATCAAAATAAGGCAAATCAAAAAATTCATTGCAAAACTATTAATTTGTAAATGTGTATAGATTTTACAGCAGATATGGAATTCCTGGTGTAGTTGAATGCATAGATGGAAGCCATTTTAAAATAGGTGTTCCTTCAAAGGAAGAAGAGCATTTATATTATAGCCGTAAGCACTATCATTCTCTAAATGTTCAAATGGGCAAATAGCTCACTGAACACTTATATGCAACATTTGCACCAAGGTGGCGAAATGGTCTGGCTTTTAGGTAAATGATACTCAGTTTTTATTTAGAAATTATATACATAAAGGAAAATGTCTAAAGACTGGTGGTAAACATAGGTCTTATTAATACAGATTTAATACTGCTTAAATAGCTTTACAGTCCACTGAAGCAGTTAAACAATATAAAAAAAATGTGTGAATTACTTGAACCTCAAAGAACTATGGCCTGCAAGAACTAAGCTCCACTTAAACAAAAATAGGGTGCTGGGAGTGTTATTGCACAGTTTTAATGTCTATACACTAAAATATTATTGTTGTATTGATCTGCTAGATATTTATGACTTCAATTAAAATTTATAACTTTCTTGTAGGAGACTCAGGATATCCCCAACGACCATGGTTAATGACGCCAATTTTAGATGCTACCTCTGGCTCAATCAATAGTGTTTATAATGAAAAACATATGAGAGCTAGGGTAGTCATCGAGAATACTTTCTCCAGAATGAAAAATCGGTGGCGCTGTTTGCACAAAGATAGAGTCCTCCATTACAGGCCACTGAAATGCTCTAAAATTATTTTAGCATGCTCAGTGCTACATAATTTAATGATTGATTTTGGGATTGAGGCCCTAGATGAAGATATGGGTAAGAATTGTAGTTTCATATTTAATGTAGGTTTTGTAAATTATTCTGTGCTGTGAACTTTACTAGGTAATATTTATAGGTCTGGATGAAAACATCAATGAAGATACAGAAGGAAGTTATATAGAAGAAGAAGCCACTTCCGATTTGATTAGAGGAAGAATATTGAGAGATCAGTTAGTGAGACGGTTGCAATAAATGTTTTGTTAATAATTATTTTCTTTTAATACCTAACTACTTAACTAAATTGTATTTTATTGTAAGTATAACAACAGCAGTGCAAAAAGAAGGAAAACTTGACACGAACCCTATATCAACCTGTCTGGCCAGTATGGTATAGTAGACCAAAACTTTTTAAAGCGTAGATCCACCAATGACTATTAAAGGCTGTTGATGATGAGAATAGGTAATATTCCCAATTCATGTATCCTGGGTAATATTATACTGTGTGATATATACAGGGTGTGGCGTAAATAGTGGTCCACCATTAAGGATTTGATAAACCAGATAATTTACTATAACATATTACAATTTTACCATTACTAGCAGAAAATAGTTCTCATAGTGCAAAATATGTAAAAGTAAATTGTAGTGTGTACAAACCGTTTTGTCACTTCTAGGCACGCTCGATCGTTGTATTTACTGCAAACGTGGATGAACAAATGTTTGGAAAGCATAATGTTTTTAAGTTACCCTCACTATATTTGTGTAAGAAATTATTTTGTTGGTATTTTGTTTGAATTGCTTTTTTCTGTATCACTATATTTGTGTAAGAAATTATTTTGTTGGTATTTTGTTTGAATTGCTTTTTTTTGTATCACAGCTAAATCAATGAAACTGTAACTTGATTTTCTCATGTAAGTGAATAGTTTATGTTATTCTTTGTGAGAAATAAATGATCTTAAACCTGAATTTTATCCATTTTTACCCAAAGGTTCCGGAAATAGATTTTTTTTACGATATGTGTACCTCTTGTTACAAATTTGGTTGTAGTTTTAACAAATACCATTATTTTTTCATTTTGATTACTGGTAATTACTGCTGAATACTAGAGCTATCGTTAAATAACATGTTTTTAATGTAAATTTAAAGCTTTTGAAGAAAAAAATTGGTTTCACTCTACTTTCAACCCAAATTTTTAACATATCATGCTAATTCAAGACCGATTTTTATAAAAAAATCGTACTAAGCTGTCAGTGCCCATTCATTTAAAAATATGCCTACTAAATACCAATTTCAAAATGGTATCACAAAAGCAGATCCTTTTGTTTAACAAAAAGATATCTAATTTTAATTGAAGAAAAGAAGATTTTCATTAAAATACATTTCACAATTTAATTGGGTGAATATTATTACAAAACGTATTAAATTCTGTAAAACGGATAAAATGTAACTTTTTACTTTTGAAATATGATTTTAGTCTGACAAAACTGGTTTTAAGAGCACAAACATGTCTCAGGTAAAAAAAGCCCGACCCTTTTTTTACCTGAGACATGTTTGTAAACAAAAGATCTGTTGAAGCTCTCGCCAATTGAGTAACGCACGATACGAGTGATAAAGAAAAGATATGGTTAATGAATGCTATCCCTTTAATTCCTAACGTTGTAATCTCCAGAAATCTCGAAATAATTTAGTACGATCTCGTCACTCGTGCGTCGTATGCGTTTTGTTTTTATTATGTGTGTTTACCTCCGTCGTTTCTTTATCCCTGCCCCGGACTCTGCTTAATTTGCCTACTGATTGGATTAGTTGGACTTTGGCTTGCTCAAAGATTTGGACAAACGTGCAGTGCAGTGACAAAAATGTCTCGGTACACACCGCGCGAATTTTATTTACGGTGAATGGTGTCGGTAGAGAAGCAGCTCGACTTTATCGGGAGAGATATCCCGATCGAAGATATCCAGATCAACGAGTTTTTGGGAGAGTGCATAACGCATACAGCGAGGGGAGGATACCTGGCACAGGAGTAGGCGGTGCAAGTGAAGGACGACCGCAAGTACACACTGGTGAAGAGGTAATGAATTTAGTTACTGAAGATCCTTCAGCATCGGTCCGTGTCTTAAGTCGCAGAACTGGCATATCCAGTAGATCTGTACATCGCATACTCAAAAGACATGAACTGTACCCATACCACTATCAAAGGGTACAGTCATTACTACCAAGAGATTATCCCTTAAGAGTAAGATTTTGTAGAGAAATGCTACGCAGAATAAGAGAGGACCCGCAATTTTTTAACAAAATATTTTGAAGCGAAAAGGATGGATATTTAAATCTACACAATCTGCATAGCTGGCAGCTAGAAAACCCGCATCTCATAAGACAAGACAGATCACAGTATCAATTTAAAATAAACCTTTGGACTGGAATCATTAACGGACTGATAATCGGTCCACACGAGCTGCCAGAAACTTTAAACGCAGATAGATATGTAAAGGTTAGATAGATATGTAGGTTTAAAGTTAAGTTTAGTAAAACAGCGTTTTATTAACAATCAGTCTTTGCTTTATTGAAGATACTTAAAATATGTAAAAATCCTTAAAATACTTATTTATTAAATTAGTCTAATTAACAATCAGTCTTTGCTTTATTGAAGATACTTAAAATATGTAAAAATCCTTACAATACTTATTTATTAAATCGGTCTCACAATCAGTCTTTGCTTTATTGAAGATACATAAAATATATACAAAATCCTTATAATACTTATTTATTAAATCAGCCTAAATAACAATCAGTCTTATCTCCAAAATCAAAGTTGTTAAAATAAAAATCATTCCTTACAATACTTATTAACAAATTTATCTAGTATGTCTAGAGCCCGTCTCTGTGTTTCTACCTCCATTATCCTAATCCTGTTTTGCTCCCTTCTCAATTCCATGTAGTCTTGGTGTTATTGAGCTTTAAACTGCTGCCAAAATGCCTCGGCTTGCAGAAAATGCTGTGTCGCCTGCTCTTTGTGAGATGGCCTCACTCGTAGTCGAGGTGATGTTCTGTTGCGAACTCTCATCCGACGAGGTGTTGTTTCTCCAGTCATAGCAAGTGCTGGATGGATTGGAGATGTGGGCCTAGATGGAGATATTGTGCCATGACCTGTAAACATATCTTTATATATATAATTCTTCTGTGAGTGTGTATGTCACTGAACTTCTCTCAAACGATTGGACCGATTTTGATGAATTTTTTTGTGTGTGTTCAAGGGGATCTGGGAATGGTTTAGATTCACAATTTTGTCCGCTGGACAATGTTTTTTTAATTAATTTTTAATTTATTAGTAGTTGTTGATTTTGGAATGTTTTACATTGTATCCGACAGACGACGCTACCATCGCAGTGTCAAATTTTAAATAATATTCGAATTTTAATTTTAGTCTGTCCCGACAGATAGCGCTGCGATCAAATTAAAAAAAAGTTTTGTTATCATTGTGTTATTGTAGACCATGTGCTGGATCAAATATTAAAGACAATGTTTTTTAAATTAATTTTTAATTTATTAGTAGTTGTTGATTTTGGAGTGTTTTACATTGGATCCGACAGACGGCGCTACCATCGCAGTGTCAAATTTTAAATAATATTCGAATTTTAATTTTAGTCTGTCCCGACAGATAGCGCTGCGATCAAATTAAAAAAAAGTTTTGTTATCATTGTGTTATTGTAGACCATGTGCTGGATCAAATATTAAATTAAAAGGTACTGAGTGTTTTGAGAAGAGTTTTGAAGTGTGCCTAAAAAACTATACATTTTGCGAATTTAGTGCAGAATCGAAGTGAGTATATTTCTTATAATTTTTTTTATCAAATTTACACGTGTGTTAGTTAATAACTAACCTAACCTACAAATTTATTTGTGTACTATCGGCGTCATTAATTTATGACTGTTTCGAGATTTAAGGGAAAATAAAATAGTATGCAAATAAAATTTAAATAATTGAATATAAATGAATAAAAAAATATATCAATAAAGTAAAAAAGCATAAAATGAAATATTCGATATTTTGAAATCTGTGTCGATAAAAAATCCACCCAAATAAGACTCAGTGTTTTACAATAAATCTTTTCAGTTTATTACTTAAAATTTCATCTTTAATAAATCACTCATTTTCGTTATGTATTATTTTACAGTATTTTCCTTATACAGAAAAATGCCACGTCTTCGTGGAAGAGCAAAAAACATTGGTCGGCGTACTCGGAACGCCCAATTAGTCCATGATCGTCGGTTAAATAGATCAATTGAAGAACACTCAACGGATAATGCAAATTTAAGAGAGCAAGTTGCATGTTCACGAGCAAATGAGAATTCAACGTCTTCAACGCGTTCAACGTCTTCATGCTAATGCATTGAGACAACGAGAGGCACGTCAATGAGCTACCGACGCACATAGAGACCATCACCATCAACAACTGCAACATAATCGAGCATTGTCACGAGCATCATTTAATCGTCTCGCGTTCGAATATGTTCCTGAAATAGATTATTCGTCACATGCACTAATCACGATGGGTAGTATGGACAAAGCGTGTCAATATTGTCATGCTTTCAAGTATAAAGGTGAATCAACTGGTTTATGTTGCGCATCTGGAAAAATTTCACTGCCATCGCTAAATCCACCACCGGAACCTTTAAAAACACTTTTAGCCGGAACCACATCTCAATCGAAATTGTTTTTGCGAAAAATTCGTAAATTCAATTCATGCTTCCAAATGACATCATTTGGAGCAACAAAAATTGTTCATAATGAAGATGGTCGTAATTTTGAATCTACATTCAAGATTCAATATCAGGTGTACCACCAAATTGGTTCATTTCTTCCAATGCCTGATGCCGATCCAAAATTTCTACAAATTTATTTTATGGGCGATGAGGAGCAACAATCACATACACGCTGCCTTTACAACCATAAAGAACGGATGGAAGAACGAGAAATTGTGGATAATTTGCAAACGTTTTTGCAAAACAATAAATAATTGATACATTTGTTTAAGACTTTCTAACAGACTGCAAAACGAGAACTACGTCATTGTCATTAAAGCAGACAAAGTGCCCTATGGAGAGCAGGCACATATAATGTTCCAACTATTAATGAAGTTGCAGTCGTTATGGCTGGTGACCCATGTGAACGTCGAGATATTCGCATACAACGCAGAGATAATACGATATGTGTGAGTGAGGATATTTTGCATTAGAATTACTAATCAAAATCTTAATATTGAATTCTCCGCCGAAATATACAACGAGTCATTAATAATGATTGAGGATATTTGTATTCTTATTTCAAACATGCCGCTCATCCATTTTGGAATGCCAGTGCCGAATCACCCAGCAGTAGACATCATCAACAGCGATGTTCAACGTGAACACCAGTTCGATAAGACTTCTTTGGCTACTTTTAACAATTGCTTACTGCTAAACAACGAAATGTATATGATCAAATTAACGTTTCAATTGCAGCACAACAAGGTGGATTCTTTTTTTTAGACGCTCCAGGTGGCACTGGTAAAACATTTCTTATCGCACTGATACTTGCGCGGATTCGATCTCAAAATCATATTGCATTGGCCATTGCTTCATCAGGCATTGCAGCAACGTTACTTGATGGTGGACGGACTGCGCATTCAGCACTTAAATTACCTTTGAACGTTCATACAAATCCCGAAGCAATGTGTAACATAAAGAAGCATTCAGGCATGGCTGAAGTTTTGAGAAAATGTAAAATTATTATCTGGGATGAATGTACAATGGCCCACAAGCATTCGCTTGAAGCTCTCGACAGGTCCCTGAAAGATATCAAAAATAATGCTCGGCTTTTCGGTGGTGCTCTACTGCTGCTGTCTGGTGATTTCAGACAAACATTACCAGTCATTCCACGCGTGACATATGCAGACGAAATAAACGCATGTTTGAAAGAATCTTATCTATGGCCAAGTGTTACTAAATTATGCCTTACTATTAATATGCGCGTTCGACTTCAAAATGATCCATTAGCGTCAGGATTCTCTGAACAATTGTTAGACATTGGCAACGGTAAAATTCAATTGTATGAAGATACACAATATATTCGACTTCCAGAGAATTTTTGCAACATGGTGGCTACCAAAGATGAGTTAATAACAAGTATCTTTCCAGATTTAAGACATAATTATACTAATCATGAATGGCTGCGAGAGCGAGCTATTTTAGCCGCAAAAAATTTAGATGTTGACGCCATCAATTTTAAAATACAACAGTCATTGCCTGGTGATGAAGTTACATTTAAATCGATTGACACTGTTGTTGATCCTGACGAAGTTGTCAACTATCCTGTAGAGTTTCTAAATTCACTAGATTTACCTGGAATGCCACCACATAATTTGCGACTGAAAATTGGCTCACCTATAATTTTGCTTCGAAATTTAAATGCCCCAAAATTGTGTAATGGCACGCGATTAGTTGTAAAAAAATCATGGGCAACATTCTTGAAGCCACTATTTTGAGTGGAAAATTTCAAGGTGAAGTTGTACTTTTACCACGGATCCCAATGATTCCTTCAGATTCGCCTATACCATTCAAACGTTTACAATTTCCAATCCGCTTGGCATATGCTATGACTATAAATAAGTCACAAGGCCAAACAATGACAATTTGTGGCTTAGATTTAGAAAACCCATGTTTTTCTCACGGCCAATTATATGTTGCGTGTTCCAGAGTTGGAAAACCATCGAATTTATTTATTTATACACCTCATGGTTTAACCAAAAATATTGTACATCCAATGGCATTACGATAAATTAAGTTTTTGTAAATAAAAAAATATATTTTTTAAATGAAATAGTTTGAGTGTAAGCTTTTTTACCTTTAATTAAAACAAGTTGAAGATTTCATTACACATACTCACACGCTATCGATTAGTCTAATTGTAATAAATTTACATGTAATGACGTTAGATATTGTCATAACATTTGAATAATAATTTTCATCAAAATGGTCCAGAATGTTTTAGCTTATTAAAAAAAGTTTGAAATTTTCAAATTAAAGACGTGTAGACAGGACAACGTCTGTCGGGTCCGCTAGTATTATATAAATGCGTATATTTAAGGTAAAATTCAGATGGTAAGTGTTCTCGTTACAAGTGTGATCTATATATATAAGTGATCGTTGACATTTCAAAAAGTAACGAACCAAATACAATCAAAAGAGCGGTACTTCCTGTTCAATCTTCAATCCCCTCAGTTCCTTCCCAAGGTCCTAGATGGCGCTAGACGTTCTTAACATGCCCCCGGCCTTGGAAGCACCTGGTTCCAAAGGGGTCGATGAGTCGCAGGTGTGTTCTTCTTCAGGACTCAGCAGTGGACAGATTTTTGCGAATGATCTACGGATTACGCCCGCCGCTGTTTTGATGTTGGCGACGCGTGAGATTCCATCCTTTCCAGTGAAAGTCTCTAGCACCAGAGGCAGATTGTCTTCCTTAATCAGAACAAGAGCATTAGAGGCGATGTTCTCTTCTGAAGTTCAGTAATGTACTCCTTGGACCACCTCTTCCAAAAACGATCCACACGATCATAGCGAGGAAGCCGTTGTGCAGCTGTCGCCGTGAGGTCTTGGCTTGGCAGTGAGCGGACGGCCTATCAGTAAATGAGCAGGGCAGAGAGGAAGGAAATCATTAGGGTCTGTGGACATTGGTGTCATTGGTCGGGAGTTGAGGACAGTTTCAATTTGTGCTAACATCGTACTCAATTCCTCGTAAGTAAGGTGTGCATTGCCTACAACACGATGCAAGTGAAATTTGCAAGACTTAACTCCCGCCTCCCACAAACCACCAAAGTGAGGCGAGTAAGGCGGAATAAATGAAAACTTTATTGAATTATTAGCTGTAAACTCCTTAATATCTGATTCATTTTCAACTAAAAAATTAGAAAATTCCCTTAAAGCACCTACGAATGTTTTCCCATTATCAGAATAAATTTGTAAGGGTTTACCACGTCTAGAGATGAATCTCTTCAAGGCCAATAAATATGCTTGTGTAGTTAGACTTGTGACCAACTCTAAAAGTACAGCGGCGCGTTGTGAAACAGACAAAAAGACAAACATAACATTTATATAACTTTGCCCCTCTTCCGG